TTGGATTCCACTAGCACAAGCAATATTATCTCAATGAAGTCGAGTCCAAAATCCAATGCTGGGAACACGAAGAATATGATCGTTGCGTCGTATATGTCAAACAGGCGAAATGAATACAAGAACATGAAAAATCCAGATATGAATGCTAGGAGTTTTGCAATAACTGATATTTTGTGGGCCAGCATCAACGTTTCATTATCTTCGTTTTCTTCGCGGTGTTTTCCTATCTGCTTTAACCTCTCATGATCTTTTATTAAGCCAAGGTATCCACAATACACGATGGTAATTAGCGTACCAAATAAAATTAGAAGACAGAAAACCAACATTGTTATGCACATGCTATCAGATAGCATTGTTTCACCAAATGAGGTACCGAACGTTATCAATTCAATTAAAAGACATAAATCCACTATGCACAAACGCAGGAAGGCGGTATGGAGATGTAATTTTTTAAGAATATGAGATCCAAAACAGTGGATACATAAGGCTGAAATAATGTCAAAAACGCTGGTCTCCATCTTAAAATTTCTATGTACCGGACTTTCCTTTCAAAAAATGATGCATACTAATTTTCTGATAGCAAAATTAATGTTAAGAAAGGGAAAAAAGCTTATCTATTATTATTCGCTGGCAGATTTAATTGGGTTATTAAATTCAATTTTTTAAATCTCATTGATTTGATATTTTAGGTACTTTAAATGCCATTATTCTCTCAAATAAAAGTCTTCAATCTATGTTTTTTTTTTTCAGAGTAGGCACTATCTCCTGGCTTTTCTTTAAAGAAATCAGATTACAGGTTTGTACTACAATTGAAATGTACTCATTCTATATTCATTTGAACCCCAAACAATCTTTGAATACAAACCCTCTGTCATGCCTTTTTGTTAAAAAAAAAAACACGAGGCACATATTTCATGCCCTCGACTTTTATTATTTTGCTTGCAATTGAATGTCTACTAAATATTCTTTTGTTGTATTTGTAAAATACCATTATTCGGCAAAGTAGATTAAATGGAACACAAAGAATTTAAGAATTTAGAATTCACTTGATAGATTTATCTATATAAGATAGAAAATTAATGCCGATAGATAAAACATATGGAAATAAACAGTATTAAAGCTTAAAAGTTAATTAAACATTACAAAATAGGAGCAGAGCAAATACGGACGAAACATCAGAGGTGGGATCAGGTGCCATGGAGGAGTAAGCATCCCCTGTCGAACGGTCACACTCGACGTGTGGACGTGTGTGTGCTTTTTGTCATGATTGTGAAATAACGGAAAATCCATCGTCAATTCAATGTATGAATTATGGACTAACAATTAAATAAAAAGGCCAGTCAGCATTATATATAAATAATGGACTAACAACTGGTATGAAAAAAAGCGTCAGTCAGCATACTCCAAATTTTGTGAGGCAATGCTATGTGTTTTAGAAAAAAATCTAAGGTTTTGCAGGGATTTTATTTCGTAGATGAATAATTTTTAGCAGTTCTGTTTATGTCATTTTTAATTTCGTGGCGACCGAACATGAATTCTGGAGTCTCTATATAATTGGAATATAGCACCTATTTAACCCAAGGAAAATAAGTGATTTCACACACCTGGTTAGCAAACACCATTTCATCATGTCAATGCTGACTGACTTTATTATTATTTGCACATTGCCAATGGGTTTTCCGTTATTTCCTGTTCGTGACAAGGAGCACACAAAGTGTGACCTGCCGGCAGAGTTTGCTCACTCCTTCATAAAAACTGGTCCCACCTCTGATGTTTTATGAGTCCCTGTTTGCTCTGCTCCTACTTTGTATTGTTTAATGGACTTTTGAGCTGAAATGCTTTTCGTTATATCCACATCAGTCAGCAGTTTATTTCATACTATACTCTTTTTGTTGATAATATAATTGTATCTACCAAAGAACTTACAAAATGACTTTAAAAGAGACAACTGATATTCTTCTGTCAGTAACTTCTTTGTCAATAATTTACCTCGTTTTAGAAATTGTACATACGTACCTAGAGCATGTTCTTGCATATCAATAAACTGAGAGATATAAACACTGTATGCAGATGATGAAGAAAAATATAAGATTCTGTGGTATCTTTATCTCAAGCTCACTGGTATATATCGTATCGACATAACATTGCTAAATGACAATACGTCGTCTATATATCTAAATGTTGAGTTGACGGCCTAGCAATTGCTTTCGTCTTTTCTCGTAAAAGAGTTTGAACATAATTTCTGCTGCATTTGAATGCAATACAGGTTTGATAATAACGGAGCAAAATTGGTACCCATGGGATTCCAATAGATTGTTAGAAAACCTGGTCTCCAAAACCACAAAGATATTGTCAATCAGAAACTCAAGCATTTTTAATGTTAGCTTCAGAGTACCGGTGTGTACAATCACGATGTCTTAACAAAATTTACAATTTTGTGATACATTTTTAATCGGTGATCATTTTCAAAGATCATTTACACAAATGAAACATATGAAGATAACAATCAAAATTCAAGTTTCAAAAGTCCATTAAACTATACAATAAAGGAGAAGAGCACACAGACCTCCACAACATCGGAGGTGGGATCATGTGCCATGGAGGAGTAAACATCCTCTGCTGACCGGTCACACCCGCCGTGTGCTCCTTGTCATGATCGGGAAATAACGGAAAAATCTGTCGTCAGTTCAGTGTTTATAACAATTCGTATGAAAAACGTCAGTCAGCATTTATCTCAATGATAAATTGTATTTGTTGTCAAAACAAATTATGAACAAAGCGAACATTACTGTATCCGAAAACAGATAAGGGGGTATGTTCCGCAGCACGTCAAGATATCCGTCCATTTTCCATAGCAATTCTAGCTTCTGCCCTAAAGGAGCACATGTAGCGAATATTTTCGATGCTTACTCTTCAAGGGTACCTTTTTTTCTGTCGTTTTTATGAGTTCGTGTTTGCTCTACGTCCGTTAAGTAATGTTTAAGTATACATTAAAGCTTGATTACATTTTTTCCATATGCAATTTTGTTCTTTTCGCATTTTTATTATCCTTGGGGGTTATTTTGTACTACAATTACTCTGTGAATGTGTGCCGTTTGTATCTTTGCACTTTAAATACCCATGGATATGCACATGTAGTTATTTGAAACCATTTACTTGTGCGTTGACACACTTAAACAATTTTGACGTCGTCAAAACAGGTAAGGCTATTGCACGTTTCTGTTCTTTATCATTTACGCTTTTTTGGGAAAAACTATAGCGAGCCTATCGTAAACGAGGGAACCTTTTCTTGCCACTTTTTTTAAAAACAAATTAAACTCTTAATTAAGTCACATTCATTGATCTAATTATTACTACAATATTATAGTCAAATTATTCATGCCAAAAAAAAAAAAGAATCGAAATCGAAAGTAAAAATAATCGAAGTTCACCAAATTGGTTGATTTTTGTTGTTGTTGTGATTTGCTTGAATAGGTAGACGGGTATTTAATAAAAGAAAATGCTGCGTTGACTGTGTTTACAAGGTCTTTAATTGATACTTTTAAAAAATTTTTAATGTAACCATTCACGCTTTATAATCATCCTCTTATTACAATTATGAAGTCGGTATGTTATAAAGTTTCAAACGAATAATGAGTGTCGACCATAAGTCTAGATTTGCAGTCCTTCACCGGCGTAAAGTGACGTCAAGTATGAATGAAATAATTTTAAAGGTATAAAAAGATAAGAGATTAACAAACTCAAACTCTGTAATAAATATTGCATGTAGTTGAGTGTAACATTGAATGAAAATTTTAACCCCAAGAAAACCATTGTCAACAGAGGCGCAGCCGATATTAATATATTTACATAATATACCATCAGTATATGGAGTTTATGTCTCTTAGTACTTAGGATGTCTTATCAACTGCCCATCATATGTACATGTATAATGTTAAAGGAAACTTATTGGTAAATTAAATGATATTGATGTAGTTTACTCTGCTAAAAGGGAAATGTAAATACATGTACTTACCAAATGAAGAATATGGAGATAACAAACAGTATTCAATCTCAAAGTCCATAAAACAATACAAAATAAGAGCATAGCGAACACGGACCTCAAAAACATCAGAGGTGGTATCAGGTGTCACGGAGGAGTGAGCATTCCCTGCTGACCAGTCACACACGCCGTGTGCTCCTTGTAATGATCAGGAAATAATGGAAAAATCCGTCGTCAATTCAGTGTATAAATAATGAACTAACAATTAGTATGAAAAATGTCAGTCAGCATTTGACTAAAGATAGACTGTATTTGCTGATATGGTCAATGTATCAACCATAGAACTGATGACTTTAAAAGAGACTGATGATGTTCTTCTTTTATCAACTTCTTTATCAATAATTTACTTCGTTTTAGAAAGTGTTCATGCGTAGAGCATGCTCTTGTGTATAGAGCTTTGTTGCTAGATAACCATTAATGGTTTTTTAAAGTAAAATATCCAAGTAAGAATCTGGTGTGCCAATGAAATTGCAAAATATTAACTGGTGTTTTTCATACTGATCATTAGGCCATGATATGAAAACTGATTTGCCGAGGATTTTTAACGAATACTATATTCGTTATTTCCCGATCATAACAAAGAACACATGTGACTGGTCAGCAGGGGATGCTTATTCCTCCATGGTACTTGATCCCACTTCTGATATAAATATAGAGGTCAGGTCTGTATGCTCTTCTCCAATTATGTATTGTTTAATGGACTTTTGAACTGAATACTGTTCGTTATCTCCCATGTTTCATTTTGTGTATATGAAGTTGAAAATGGTAACTGAGAAAAAATGTATCACATACAATGCTCACTCTTCTCTATCGCACCTGATCTCACCTCTGATATTTGGAGGTCTGTGTTTGTTCTGCTCCAATTTAGTATTGTTTAAACATGGTTTAATGGACTTTTGATCTTGAATAATGTTCATTAATATCTCCACTCGTTAAGTTTTCTGTTTCAGATTAAAAAAAATTGTTATGGCTGCATCACAATCTATAATGGCCCAAGAGGTTTACCTTTGTAACTTCTGTGGTCAGGCTGCCGAGATCTGCTGTAAAAGTTGTCAGGCTTATTTGTGTCTTCACTGTGTTCCTGAACATTTAATTCAACTTAAAGACGAACGACACGACATAGTGCCATTCAAAAAAAGGCGGAAAAGGAAATGCGAATTGCATCCGGGTCAACGTTGTGAGGCTTATTGTCAGAACTGTGAGGTCCACGTCTGTCTGAGTTGTTTGATTGGAGAACATCGATTACATGACGTAGCGCAGTACCCAGTCGTTATCCAATCAGAAACGGAAAACGAGGAGGAGGCTAACCAATCAAAATGCTTTATCTTATTGGTAGCATTTCGCGGTAAGCTTTGAAATTTAATTTTTATAAACGCAGAGTTGTAGTTTTTAAATGAGTTTTCAACCTTTGTATGAAGTTTTCAGACATTATTAATGACACCTAAATTTTATACTCTTGTTTTTTATAAGAAAATTTTTCCAATCATCTATGTATTCGTTAGATTGTGTGTCCTCTGCACTGCATTTCCAGTTAGGACCAGTATCACGGCTGATTACGTGTGCTATTTTGTTCACGATAGGGTTAACGCTTTACACCATAGGATGTGCACGGTTCAAGTAATTATAAACAGGCACTTTTTCTTTCAATGTTTTTATTTCAGTAAAAAATTGTTTATTATGTGAACTTTTTCAATCATCTTAAGCTGATTGTGTTACGAGAAGACAGTTTTGTACATATTGTACTTTTTTTTATTTTTTGGTTATTTTATTTTTCTTTTTTTAGGAATTACCCTTCCTGGATAGTGATTTTTTACGTTTTCTTCGGTCTGTGTTCTTCATTTATACATTTTCTTCATTTGCATCATCACTTTTCCGGGCTAAGAGACGTAGCGATATTCCTTGCTACCGGTGCTGTGGTGTCGGCAAACGCCTTGACGATTGTCCTGGCAAAGAATTCTGAGGTAAAAGATCAGATATGGCTTTTGGAACACTCTCTAGACTTTATATATTACTCCAGTATTAATGTGCAAATCTTGAAAACTTTCAATATTGCATGTAATTTATGATTTCACATTTTGTCTTCTGTTGTTTCTTTCAGATATCCGTTGGAGCTTGCATTCTGTCAATCTTCAGCAATATTTTCCTCTTTCCATCTATTTATAAAATGTTGTCTAGAAATGAAAATCATTTTCCTTATGAAGAAATCTAGAAAGTGCTGTGTGATATTAACAAGATTTTGAGAAGAGTATCTTTTTCCTAAAGGAAAATGACATTTTGATTCCAAGAAACATGCAGATTTGTGTAAGAAAACAATGCTTATTACTAGAATTTGTACTAGTGGATGTTTTTTCCGTCATGGCACCTGATCCAACCTCTCTTTTCAAGGTCTATGTGAGCTCTATATTGTTTGTGCTTTTATAGCTTATTCAATATTGACCTTCACTATTCATTTATGAAATTTTATCTTGTTGTATTGGTATTACGGTAGGATTTTCATATACATGTACATTTAAACATATGATGATATCACAAATCTTGTCCTATATTAAATTTTCACACTCTAATTTGTCCGACAGTGAGCAATTTTTTCAACTTTTTTATCCAATCTCTCTTGCAAAAACTGGTAGAATATAAATTGGTTGTTTCAAGATATTTCATATGGTCCTGTTCATTTTAAAAAATGAAAAATTAATTAAAATTCCCATATATTTTGTCAGGTTTTAAAGGAAATTGATTCCTGAACTTCATAACTGAAGATATTTGATTTACTTTAAAACATCTTTATTAATAATAGGTTGGTATAATCATACATTTGACATTGAATGTAAAATATTGCCTCTGTTTCACACAAATTCAAAGTAATAAAAAATCATAAAATGAATGAAAAATAAGTCAATGAGAGGAAGAAAATAGACCCAATTCCTGTTGTTCTACATGTGTTGGTATTTACTAATTTACATGTATATTGGCAACAGGTCTATGCCTCAAAATAAAATGTATGAATATATTCTATGAAGATTCTGAATTGCATGAAATATGATTTTCATCTTGCTACCTTTTTCATTATAGATCTTTGTCACATTGGAATATCAAACTTATTCGAAACATTGTCCATCTGTAGAGTTTGATTCTTGGTTTTCAGCCTCTTACTCATCAGCCTCTTGTGTCTTATGCTATGTCAGTAATTGTTTGATTTTTTAGTTTAATTTGATCTATGCTCACTTGATCAGAAGGTACAAATATATTTATATTGCTATATTGCTAAAGATAAACGTTTTTCTTCGCCCGTGTGTCTGTGTGTACATGAATATTCACATCCTTAGAATATGTAGAATGTCTATCATGAATAAAAAAAAAAATATCCGTCCTCAGATTTCACTTTACCAGATGTATACTTGTAGATTGAGTTGGTACAATAGTAAAATTAAGTGGTTTATACAGAATTAGAAAATCTCTAACTTCATGTTCAGTCATAACCATACACTTATGTTGAGATAAAGGTCACATACATAGATACAGTAAAGATATGCCTCTCGTTTTCTATAACTGGTTTCCATCTAAGGGCATATATACTGTCAATACTTTTAGAGTATTTATAGCCTTTTGAACACACTGTTGTGTTGAATCTTTATCACCACTGTTCCAGTTAATTAGATAGCCAAACTATAAGCGATGATCTTCCTCTGTCAGGTATCCGTGAGATCGGCGACATTGTGGAGGCGATACGAGACTTCTCCCTGTAGAGGGCGCTGTAGGGGATGGGCCAACAGCTGCGCCATTTGATCGTAGAGTCGCGTCGGATTTCTAGCAGCCTCAAAGATGTAAGACATTCCCTTTTCATCAAAATCACAGAGGCGGTCAAAGATTTCCTGAAATGGTTAATAAATAATAAATTCATAAAAGTCAAACAGATAGTCACAGATATCTTGACTTAATCAGTAACAATTACTTCTGTACTCTGAAGTTTCACCTTTATTTAGTAGTTTTCAAAGAGTTTTCTACATAAAAGATAATATATAAAACTGAAATGCATTTTGTAGACATGTCTATCTAACTACATATGTACACTGTTATATATAAATGATAATCAGCACTTTCTTCTTTGATAAATTTTCAATTGAACTAAAAGAAAGGGCCCAGCAATAAATAAACATGAATTTCAAAGGTCAATTATTTGAATGACCAATTATAAAACATTTGTAATTTTATGTTGCTCTAACTGTACACTGCTTCTATAAATGTTAACAGTTATATGACTGTGTCATAAAAATGAATAGTCTTGCTCCTAGCAAACAGAACAATAAATTCTTCCATGTGTTTGATATAAACAGTTAAGGCTTACAGACAATTCTAACTGACCTCGCACTTGTTTTCCTCTGATTGTGGTTCATGTACATAGAGGGCATCAAAGAAAAAGTAAGGAGAGCTATCCAGCTGTCGAAAACTCTGAAAAATTAAAATCAGGATAGAAGTGACTGAATATTACAAAAAAACACTGTGTTATATTACAAAGCTTGTTAAGAATGACTATAAACATGGATATTGCAAATTCATAGTTATAAGGAAAAAGCCACTCTGTTAAATTTTACAAGATATAAAAAAGATTGGAGTTTTACTTGGGGGACACAGAAAACTTCATATACTGGTATTGTAATGTAATTTTAACTCCCCATCATTCCTTACTTCATCACCATCTTACCTCTTTATTCTGGAACTCGATTTGTCCGTTAGATCGACCGTAAATAAACAGCATCCTTACAATGTAAGGGGGAGGCAGAATTGTCATGTCCCCCTCCACTTCTGGAAGTGGCACGCACTGATGTCTAAAATAAGGAGACAAACATAGCTACCTCAGTACATAAATCTACTACATACTGAATGCTATACTATAGAACTGTCTGAAATACACTGTATTAAGTTAAATGATCAGTTTTTTTCTTTTTCACAGACCAATCAAAAGATTTCTATAACTTTAAATTCAATGAGATATATCTCTGCCTTTCCAGATTTGTACAGGTATAAAATCTAAAACAAAAATTTCAAATTAGAGTCTTCAATGGAGATAACTCTTCTAGAAAATGATTTCCTATCTTAAGTGTAACTGTTCAATATTTAGACTTCTACACAAATGGAGAAAAAAGCTCTTCACCACTTACTTTCTGATTAATTTGATTGGATGCTTACATGAGGTCAAACAACGAGGTCGCATTGAAGGACTGTAGCTCCACCGTCTCCGACAAATCATCTAAAGCATTCATTACAGACTTGATATTTCCAGTAAAATCTTTCACCTAGAAATATTAAAGTATTGATGTGTACAGGCATCTTCCAATATCATGATTATAAGTTGATATAATATTTATTCAACATGTAAAAGCTAAAGTTAAAATCCTGTTCCATTCTACATTATTCATTAAAATTCATTAACTAGTCTCTCAAATTCTGAATACTGTAGATTGGCAAATAATCAAGATGGTTTTAATTTCGCTAAATTCGTGATTTATCTTTTTTCCGCAAAATTAAACCCATCGTGGATGCTATTATTATTTTTACAAATGGTTTAATGCTAATACAAAAATTTGAAGTAATTTTGCAGCATGAATTTAAAACCATCACAATTGGAACTTTTTGAAAGATCGTGAAATTTTAACACCGTGAAATTAAAACAATTTACAGTAACTGCTGATTTTGCTCATTAACTACTTTTCCTATTACATAGTGTGTTGTAATAAACCCATTCAATGCTTTTTTATTCTGAAAATAGATTACAAAATGTGTTTGAATTAAAGTTACAGTGAAATAAATTTACCCATGATGCTTTGTCAAAGAGATGGACCAATGCAAACTGATGATTTTTGTTCATTTTCTGTTTACTGTGGAGATAAAATGACAGAGCTCTTCTGACCAGCTTCATAGGGGTCCACTTATCCCTGTCAAAAAAAAAAATTACAAAAAATCAGCAGAGTGATCAAACAGAAATAATTCAACTTTATAGGGGTCCACTTATCCCTGCCAAAGAACATTCAACAGCATCAGCAGAGTGTCGGGTCAATCAGAAATATTTCAACTTCAAATTATCATAGGGGGTCATTTATCCCTGGTAAGAATCATTCATCAGCATTGAGTTAAAACAGAAGTAAAAACACATCAATGTCACAGATGTTAAGAGTCTTTTTGTGTAAGATATGCTTGCAGTAATTTGATAAATCATAAAGCCTTGTGGCATGAATTTCAATGTATCCAATATCAACATCTGGATCACTTTTTTACTTTAATTAAAAATTATAAGAAACAAACTGGAAATGATTAATATGAGTAAAATCACTCAGAGCATGTTTATTTTGAAAAAAAGGTCTTATTTTGATAAATTGGTAGTACATGTACTGTCTACAATTATTCTTTGTTAACAAATTCATAAATGCTGCTTCATACAATTTACTGTAAAAAAAAAATGATGTGAATAGGAAAAACCACAAATTCATGCATTGACTGTTTAGGAAAAACAATTTCTATCCAAATTTTGTACTAAATTTTCAAAACCCTAGAAAGAGTGCATCTGAAGAATATATTTTTAGAACAAACTGCCTTGTCCTTTTACCATCTTCAGAACATTACAATATACAATGCTTACCCTGATCTAGACCGAAATGAAACTTTATCCATTTCTGTGCTCATATCCAGGCATATTATCTGAAAAAAAAAATCCAAGATATTTATACAAATTATGCAATGTCATGTAATATCAATATGCATCTTTTGTTTCTTTCCTTGCAGCCATTTCAAGTCTTTCTGAATAACTAGGGATCTATAGCATATTATGGTCAAAGACTAGTATTCACCTATTTACTGGCTATGAGGACAATAGCAAGTTTATCGTTCCCCAAGACAGCAAACTATTTCCTGAGGCGCAGCCGAGGGAAGTAGTTTGCTGTCGAGGGGGACGATAAACTTGCTATTGTCCGAATAGTCAGTAAATAGGTGTTTTATTATACCGATGCTGACTTTTAATAACTTGTTAACTTTTGGGAGTCCAGGGTACACACAATTATGATATTCCATATTATATACCGATGTAGCTGCAGATCTGTAGCTATCCGAAAAAATATATTTTTTGACTGTATATCAGTGGTATATAAAAATGTATATTTATTGCGCACAAAAAAGTGCGCTCGGTTCTTGATTATTTCTTCCAAATTCTTACCTCAATTGCAAAAGAGGGAAAATTTAAAAAGGTTTCTCTCTCTTTATCAAGTACACTCGTAGTTGACATCTGAACGAAGCATATTGGACCGAATTATCTTTGAAACCAAAATGGCAGTATATATAATGAAAATGTTCGATGATTACAATATCAGGGTCAGGAGGACTATTAAAAACAATTATGATGAATGTTTCGTTGTGGAAAGAGTCAAAGAATATGTTAGGAACACACGGTTAGTAATATTTTGAGATTACAGTTTTAGGAACATGGAGAAAAAAATCGAAAACCGAGCGCACTTTTTTGTGCGCAATAAATATACAGTTTTTTCAATGGGTGGCACTGTAGCTATCCGGTCTATCAATATATATTTTTTCGGATAGCTACAGATCTGCAGCTAATACCGATGCTGACTTAACTTTTGTTACGTCATAATATATACGCGTCACAATCCGTATAAAACCAGAAGTTTTCCGAGATGAAAAGCAAGGGATACAGAATGCTGCTGGTGAATGGTTTGATGACTATTTCACCATGGGCAGATAGCACAAAAGCTATTTCACAGTAGGGGCTGTTTGGAAAAGATAGCATGTTTATTCGTCATGTTTTTATATTGAACAAATTCACAGAGGTATATATAATCTTGTATATAAAGCCATATTAAATGCAACACTTCTGTAGCTTCTCAGTTAAATGTAATAGAGCCAGCTGATTAGAACACACATTGGCTTGGAATGGAGCGGACCTGACCTTTCCCTGAAGTTAGGGAAAACCCTCATAAACTGCGAAAGCAATGCATATTAAGGGGGTAAAAACATTTTTTTCTGTATATCATGGTATATAAATATTTTGCATATTCTGAAATTAATTTACTCTATATTAAAATTTGTGTAATTGCATGTTTACAGTTTCATGGTGAAGTTAAGTAATGTTTGTGACATTGCAGTGGAAATATCGGACGTATTAACAATCCTAAATAAACTTCATCAGTCAAAACCAAGTATACTGTGTTTTATCTTTGAGAGGGTCGATCCATAACTGCACATCTCTGCCATAGCAGGATATATAGCAGATAAAGCATTTTTTTTTTAAAATTCACACTGTTCAGACTTTGATTTGGTAATGCTACTGTGGTACTCAGCTGGTTTCGATCACTGGTGGCCAGAGAGCTCAGTTGGTAAATTAAAGCACCTGACCAGAGTTTCGGGGGCATGAGTTCAAATCCCGGTCTAATCCGCTGCATTTTCAGAGTTTAACGTTATATGTATCAAATGGCACATGTGGTTTGATAAGCCCGATCTGAATATAAAGTAGCTGCGATTGCCCTGACCACAGGGGCTTGCTCACAGCCTGTAATAATTATTTATTAAAAAATCATATACCGTAATGTGTTATAACGGTGTATGATTTTATTATTTTTTTTACATGCCGGGAGCAAGCCCCTGTGCCCTGACAGTCACACCATGGCATCTACATCTCATTAATTTAATAGGTGCGATTTAAGAATAGACTTCCACCTCTCAATATCATATACATTTACCAATGTAATTGATAAAGACCAATTTATATCTTCTACACTTCACATGATAGGTTAACTAGGCCCTAGTTTTTACCCATTTAGAAGAGGAGTGTCTATCTCCAGAGACCTATCTCCAAACACAACTCACTATTTTTTCTGGGCAGTTCACACGGGGTAGTGCGACGTCATCTTGACTGGAATCCCGAGATTTCGCATCTTCGTTTGAGCTTCCCTCGCTTTTGGCAGCCGAATGTTCGTCAATAATATCATATTCGTGGATTACACTCGATACTAGCCGGGAATAGTTTTCTTGTTCAGTTCCACTTTCATTTTCGGTCTCCATGATTGTAGTCTCAAAGCAAAAGCAAATACAATTTTTAACGCATTGAAAACAATTTTGAACAGATTACAATACTTTTCGTATAATTTTATGATTAAATTTCTTTTTAAAATCTCAGAATGACATCAATCAAAAGATTTAAGCTGAAAAAACACCGAGTTTATCATGTTTATGCAAGATCTGGGTTAGAGATTATATTTTCTATCATCAAACTCGTACTCAACATCAAGGCGATAAAACATCACTTATTTCCAAACCTTCACGTTGTCTGTGAAGATTTTTCTCTTGCTTTGTGACTGGTAAGAACATAATGTCTGTCATGATATAATCCTACAAAAATCGACCTTCATTACAAAACATAACAGACCTTGATTTTGTGACATGTAACAGTTGCATGTATGACAATGTGTACAGTGTTGTAGGCTGTCTGATCAGTGATAAAATTCACTTTTTTTCTTTAAAAAATCGGCAATTTATATAGGGTAATTTAAGAATTACGAAATTTGACAGGTGGTTTTAGTGACACAGAAGGCAATTCCAGTATTTTCTCATTTTCCTATCATCTCTTCCTTGCACAGGTCCAGGAAAATCACTATATTTAGCTATATAGGTATATATCTACCTATATAGCTTTATTTACCTATAAAATATAGCTATATTTAGCTATTTTGGAATAAGTTTCAGTTTTATGAAAAGCAGACAAAAAGTCGCATAATGAGTCAGTATTAGTTTTCAACTTTGAAATGGACTGAAAACAATTCACCAAAAACCCACTTATAAAAATGTTTCTCCTTTTGTGCTATTGCAATCAAAGATCTAAAAGTTTTGGGGCTATGTGTAACAGTTAATCTGTGAGTAAGCAGCTACTTTAACAAAGAAAAGCAGTTTTGGTCAACAAGATAATTGATTGGTAATAATTGAGCACAATGCAAGGCAATCACACTTAGTCATGCCTCACCGCACTTCCAGCTATCCAAACAATAGAGATGCATTTTTTGGTTAAAAAGTGTTTATAAGAGGCAATGTTTTTACTATCTATGCCCTAGGTTGTTGTTATCAATCCTTTTAAAAAATATATCAGCCATAATTTACATGCGACATTTTGTCTGCTTTTCATAAAACAGAAATTTATTCCAAAATAGCTAAATATAGCTATATTTTATAGGTAAATAAAGCTATATAGGTAGATATACCTATATAGCTAAATATAGTGATTTTCCTGGACCTGTTGCATAGACATACACTATACAGTAAAACTCGGTTATAACGAAGTCAATGGGAGCTACAAAAGTACTTCACTTTATCTGTTATTCGTTATATCCATGTAAGAATTTGTTGGATTAATATAAATGTGGATCCAAGTTAACTTGGCTTTATCCGTGAATTCACAATATCCATGTTCCTACTAAACGAGTTTTGATCTAATGATTTTCAGATATATGCTTTGTATTACATTCAAGTGATTTGTTTATATGTTAAGAAAAAAATTAATACAAGTCAAGTATCAGATATGCTTTTGTGTAAGTCATTGTTTAGTGTCCCATTCTTGCATATTAATTTTATTATTTTAGCGATGAATGCTGAGGCAGAGAATGTCAATGAGGCTCGCCCGGGGAGGTCTCAGCGCCCCAATAACCCACTCTTCAACATGAGAGAAAGGCTGTTCCATGCCTTGTTTTACAGAGTGGCTCTAACGTATGCAAGGGCTTTCCCGAAACCAGTTCGCAGGATCCTAGAATTTGCCATCTTGCTAAAGGTGATAAAAAAAATCTATCAATTTTCAAAATTGTTGGCATTTCATTTTGATTTACAAATTGTGTTTGCCACTGGCTTTATTACTATTATCTTTAAAAGCTTTAATAAAACCTTTAAAGCCATTACTTTTTATGACAGTTAGCTATTTTGTCTAATGAATGTAAATAATATATTTTGAATTATTTAGGCTCTGCTAGTGTTGGGGATCCTAGCCTACATACACATAGTTTTTGCCCGTACCCCAATCAACTGCCTGGCAAATGTACAAAGCACATGGCCAAGGAATGGAATTCTCAGGGTAGAAATTGTCCACAATGCGTCCGAGAACTACAGCATCATCAACTCTTACGAGAAAGAATACTCGGACTTTACATTGCATTTCTTCAATGATGATAGTGAGGCGGGCATGGAAGAGGGCGGGGACTCGGAGACCCCTGGGGGAGAAGAGGAGCACATAGGGGAGGATGACACGGAGGGAAAGACTGGACACACTGAAAGTGGGCTAGAGAGAGAACTGGAAGAGAAAAGGGACAAAAATGTGGAGGGAGTTGAGGAGGGAAAGAAAACTCTGAATGGTAGTCATGCTCCTACAGATTTCTCTGAGCCGACCAATGTCAGTTCTGCATTACCTGGGGCTGATACAAAGGAGGCACTGTTTTCTGATGGCTCTCATTTACCTGTGGAGGGGAACACCACATACTCCCCACCAGAGAAACAAAAGGTGTACGAAAACCCCGCCTCCTACCATCTCTCTGAAATCGAAATGCTGGCCAAAGTGGGTGAGTTAAAGGGAAACTATATCAAATTAATCTTACGAGTCTGTATGGGCTATTTTACTGGGTATTTTCTTTCCATAATGGTTGTAAGGGGCTACATGTACATTTAGCTCGTTATTGATAAAAATAAAATGTCATGCCTTATTTCTGTATTTTATGTAATTTTTTATGAAAATTTAATCAGAAATTTACTTATAATTGAAGTTTGATGAAAAGCTTCAATGGATATTCAAGAAAAATTTTGTTTCGTTTTCTGTTCATACATTCAAGATTGAAATGTTGAATGGTAAGTGGATAAATTTTATTTCTAGTTTGGCCAGAGGAGAAATACATTGTGGAATATGCTCTAGAATATGGATTTTTGAGACTCTCCCCCAAAACCAGACAGAGGCTGAACATCACAGTGATGCTAGTGACTCTGGGTAAATCTCAAAAATCATTTTATTGACCTAAACAAAGATAAAGGAAACTTATTATTATTTATATTCAAATTTACCATGTTCAAATAAAGGGAGAAAAACTGTATTTAAGTCGTAGATTTGAACAAGAAAGAAAAGATTATAATCTTATTGTAGTACGAGTTAAGTTTCTTTTTCTCTATTTGGAACTTTGATACATGTATACAGAAGATCACTGTTTTCAGATCCTGAGAAGGAGAGTTGTTTTGGAGACAGCATCAGTCGCTTCCTGTTGGCTGAGTTTCTGGGATACGATGACATCCTCATGTCCAGCATCAAACAGCTGGCCGAGAAAGAGGACAATAAAGGTACACTACTCTGTCTGTCATATTCATGGGAAGTGTAAATTTAAATGGAAATGTCAGCGAAACTTTTAAATGGTTACTGTATTCTCCAGATAATTGGGTTGATGAAGACTGTTTTTAGGAGAAGCTTTATTTGTTTCTTTTTTTGTGATATTAAGTTCCTTTGTTGCCTTGACCTAATTTAGAACTTGTTGTAGGTTACCTCCGTAATGTGGTGACAGGAGAACACTACCGCTTTGTCAGTATGTGGATGGCAAGGAGCTCCTATCTGGCTGCTGCCTTCATCATGCTCGTCTTCGTAAGTCTATAGAGGATAGTGAAATAGACAGGGTATCACATGTAATAGTATGAAAAATACTATTAAAAGAATGTTTTTAAACTTTTCTATATTGCTTAAAAATATTAACAGGTTGTGAAATTCATGTATACTTTTTCAATATTTCATAGTTTTGTGTTTTAGTTTCTTGGAAATTTTGGCCTTACTTATTGTTAACCTTTACTTCATTTTGTACAGATTAAATTCAACTTGTGATAGATTTCTAATATTGCTGTTCCTTGTTTTTCAGACGGTGTGTGTTTCCACTTTACTGAGATATTCCCATCACCAGATCTTTATCTTTATTGGTAAGAGAACTTCTGTTTTATGCCTCCTTTAACCCCTATCATGGCAAAGATTTGAAGCATTTCTAAAGAAATCGGTATCAGTGGAACCAACTGCTACAATTTAGAGAGGCTGGGTGGTCGTGGCCATTTTTAGACTATTTTGATCTCCTTTAGAAGAAGAGCTCCATATAAAGATATAATAAAATGATCAAATTTTAAAATTTATGAAATTTTTCTTTGCCAAATGATGTTGACATCTTAAGATATCATATCCCAAAATTTAAGTTACATGTATATCTGGTGGTTAATAAAAAGATAATTTGTTGACCACCTAGCCTCCTCAATTTTTATATGTCCATTTAAATGTGACTATTTGACATGTTTTTCAGTGGACCTGCTACAGATGCTGGAGATGAATGTCACCATAGCGTTTCCTGCTGCTCCTCTTCTGACCGTTATTCTGGCTCTGGTTGGTAAGTCATGTGACCAAAATCTACCAATTATCATACAGAGATTAGACAACTGTCTGTTTGCTGCAGATTGTCAAATTGTAGAATTCATAAAATGATTGAATTTAAAATCTTGAGGGGAAAAAAAGACTAACATAAAATCAGAGTAGAGTTTTGCGATTATTCTTACATTTATATTATTTGAAGGAATGGAAGCCATTATGACAGAATTCTTTAACGACACGACAACAGCGTTCTACATTATTCTGATTGTTTGGATTGCTGACCAGTACGATGCTATCTGTTGCCATACCAACATCGGTAAACGACACTGGCTCAGGTGAGCATGTCTCACAAAATCAAGAGGCTATTATGTTATATGACGATATTATGTTATAAGATAACTAAAGCTTTATAAACTTAACATACAGATGAGGTATGAATTGATAACTGTTAACATTCATTAACGGTCTTCTTTAATTACTTAGGATTTAACGGACAGTACAGTGGACTCGCTCTGTTTACATCCTGGCTTTTTATTCAGGTAAAAAAGACATAAGTCTCTCTCTAGGGAACTGATATAATATATAGTGAGGCTTTATTAATTCAATGAGTAGATGAGGTATGAATTAGTAGAGGTCTGTTTACATCAATATTCATTAACGATGTCTTCTTTAATTACAGGTTTTTCTACCTGTACCACTTTGCGTTTTACGCTTACCACTATAGATTTAATGGTCAGTACAGTGTGTAATTATCGCGCTGAAAAAAGTACGTTTACAGTATCTAAATATTGAATTTTGACATCATTTGGAAAGATACTAGTAATAGAATTATTAACATTGTCTGAAATTCTGACGTATTTAATTTTTTACTTTAACAGGGAACTGATATGTTTATTTTAATATTTTTTTTTTCGTTTTGAAGACACAATGTTTTTTTCCATAGTATAATAATTTTTTAACTTGTATTATTAAAACAATCTTAAGTAGATTTGGTCATTTATTGCATGTGCATAATCAGAAAATCATAAATTGTAGGAATCATATCAAAAATGAGAAAATTTTCTTTCTATTTTGTAGTTAAAACCCAAAAATAAACTATTTTCATTTAAATTTTTACTAATCCATATGCCTATAATTATAGCATTTATCACTGTGACTTATCTTTGAAACAGTTTTGTTTATAGATTTCTTTCACTGGTGTTCCTCTTCTGTTTATTTTTATTCTTCCTCTCTTTCCCAGCATTCCATGTTGTACTTCTTCCATCACTACGAGCTACCAGCCATTCTACAGCAGGAAAGAATTCAGCAAATCGTCACCAACCAACAGAACAACCAGCACACGCAGACAGGAGCCGGAAACAACCTCCAACCGGACGCAAACCACAACACCGAGCAGGGCCCGGCGCCGGATAATGGAAGACAAGGCCCGGCACCAGATAACAGGGGACCAGGCCCCACAACAGAGAACGGAGGACAAGACAATGTAAGACAAGGACAAGAAGCAACCAACATGGAGCAAAGACCAGAAACCAGCAACCAAGCCTCAACTGCAACAGGAAACCAGACAACTGGTTCAGAAAACAGGCAACAGAGCCAGATAGCAGGAGAGACAACAGACAACTCTGTAATAAATACCACTGACAACAGACAACAGAATGCAAACTTCAACTCTCAACTGAACAGTTACCAACAAGCAAAAGAAAACAACTCAGATGTAAACAGGGAAGGAATTCAGCCAGCAAATGCTTCTGATATAAAACAATTCATGAAAGGAAAACAAACAAATTCAGACAGTTCTTCTACTGTATCAGCACCTGATTCTAATTTTACTGTACCTTCAAATGGAAGTCATCTAAGACAAAGAAATGTAATAGTTACAGACAATAATGTAGAAAATGACTCAATGCATCAAGCTGGGGAGAAAATTGACTCTCGTTATAAATCTGTAGACCGGGAATCAAAGCCCGAGGTTTCTGGTGCTCAGCTAAATTCTATGCCAGTGGATGTAACTTTGTCTGATAATTCTGATCAGTCTGGTGCTGTAGTCTCAGATATTAACTGCCACTCTGGGAGTGGACAGTGTTTAGACAGTGATAAATTGTGTTCTGGAAAAGGAGATCCAAAAGTAAACAGTTCTAGTGGAGAAAGCTGATACAGACTGAAGTTTAACTTCAGAGAAAGGTTTAAAGTGCAATGATATTTGATGTAATATAATACCCCTGATCTTTCGCTTTTACTAAATTCCTGTTGTGAACATGTGATTAGTAATGTGTGCTGGTATGAAATTCTTCTGTGAGGAAAATAAAAGGAATACATGTACATGTATATTTTATCTGTTTGATATAAATGAAATTTAAATACTAGTATTCTTTTTAATGTCAGAGTTTCTACAGAGTCAATGAATATCCTGCCAGATAAACTACTAGTATGCAATTATTACAGTACATCATTTTATCTGCAACCACCTTGCCTATATTCCCACCCTCAATTTACGATAGATTAGAAACTTCAGAATCCTCATAATGCTTGTGTCTAACCTTTTTACACCGCAGTTGTTAATTGAAACCTAGCTGCAGAACTGTAGCGTTATTAGTCTGTGGCCATAACGCTACAGTTCTGCAGCTGATTAAAACTAAGAAATGATTTTTTTGTTTGTTTGTTGTTTAATGTCCATCTCGAGAACTTCTTACTCATATGGAGATGCCACCATTTGCTGACAGAGAGCTGCAAATTTTGACCTATGCTTGGCACTAACAGCAATTGAGCAATGAGGGATCTTTGTCATTGGCAGATCCAGAGGGGAGGGGTTCTGGGGGTTGGAACCACACTCCCCACCCCCTCTTTATTTTTTGTTTAGTGGAGAGAGAGAAAAAAAAGAGAGAGAAGAGATAAAATGTTTTTCAAGATTAAATATTTGTATGTCTAACTTATGTATTGAATAGATAGATGCTCACACATTTAGTTTCCTCCATCTATATCACTATTACTTTTTTATGAAAGAATGATAGAAAATATTCTACTTATTTTTATATGATTCGTAACATGCAAGGTTTAATTTGATAATAGATTCCCGCGATCTATGGCTGTGTTGGCTATATATGTACCATTTTTGACCATGTATCTTTTGAAGGAATTAACTTGTAACTCTTTCTTTTAAACCCCACCCGTGCCCCAACCCCCAAAACGTTTCTCAAATTCTGAAAGAAAATTCTTTGTACTCTTTGGAAATGCTGCAAATCCATTCAATTTTAAGGCTTCAGTATATACTAAGTAGTTTTTGAAATGTGTTCGTTTTTTATTCAGACTGGGGGTACAGTACCTTTTCAAAGAAAAAAGGACGTAAAACAATGTTAGTATCTACCACAACCTTAGATCTTCCCATACGTGAGTGTGTGTGAATCTTTGCTTGAGAGTATGTGTGTGCAGTCTGTAAATATGGGGGGGGGGGGGGGGGGGGAGGAGGGGGTTAGAGGGGCACAACCCAGGAACCCCCTTTCAAAAATGGCTGGATCCGCCCCTGTTGGTTGTGCCAGCATCTACTGCGACACCAAACATTACAACTTATAAGGTCTCATCCAAAGAACCGGTTTCTACGTCCTGCAGTGAGATTTTCGAACCTGCGACGTAAGAATAAACTCCATACTCAAAGACTCTAGAGCAGAAAAAGCTTTCCACTTTGCCATGCGGAGAAATAAGAAAGGAAAAGTCCAAGATAATGCATATGACTACATCAGTACATAGGAAACTCGTACCTTTTTCTTCACGCTTTTCCTCCTTGGGTGGATTACATGCAGTTGCTTGTATCGTGGTGGAAGCTAGTACAGATAACATTTGTAAAATACTGAGTAGAATATCAGAATTTATCGGATGGTTTGTTTTTACAAAAAATCCCTAAACTAAACAAATAAATTTTACAAAATGTAAGGCATTGAAGTGCGAATATTATAGCAGTCTAGACCCAGTAAATAATGAAATAATTTAAAATCTTAATTCAAAGAAAGCTACACAGGTGTATCTTTTACACGTGAAATATTTTTTAGCCGAAGTGAATAAGGTCAATGCATTCTGGTTTTAATGTGGAATTTTAAAAGTTACCTTGTTTTTTTAATGATAATTTGAAAGCGTGTACCTTCAAGCTCTGTTATCATTGCCTGTATTGTCAATTTTAAATGAGTTTAAAGTCCAATGTGCCAAATAGTGCACTACCCAGAATTTTATCTCATTTCTAGTCCATAGATAAGTAGGCAACATTCAACATGGCAGTAAGTAAACCCAAATATCCACTGGGCTCACCTCAAGAGCATATTGAAATGTGTAAAAACCACAATTTACCAATTGATGTGATATGTGAGGATTGTGATGAATTAATTTGTGGTGAATGTGCCAAAACAGATCATAGAAAACATGAATGGAAAACTATACCCACTGCAGCCATGCTAAGGAGGAGAGATTTGATAAAATTTTTGAGGAAAATAAAGGAAGATGATCTACCTGGAATTGATGAGAAGATTGAGAAGACATCAAAACAAATCACAGAAAATAAAGAACTTTGTGACACTGAGATTAAAAAGCTTCAGAAGCATTATGATGAGATAGTAACCAGGCTATCAGAAATCAGGAAAAATAATGAACAAAAACTGAGAGAGAATTTGAGGAAAAGTAATGAAAAGTTGGATGTTGCAAATTCTGAGTTAAGCAAAAAAAGGAAAGAAATTGCAGAAATAGTTAAGTTCATGGAGAAAAACAAGAATACCATGTCAGATTACGGCTTCATTGACAACCACAGAGAACTAACAAAACTGTTGTCTGCCCTGGAAGTTGATATGAAGAATAGCACACCATCAGTGAGATACACAAAAGGGGAAGTCAGTGATGCTATACCGGAAAATTTAATTGGAAAGTTTTTTGATATAAATGACATAAGTTTGACTGAAACAAACTCATTTAAATATGGAGAGAAACCAGTCACTTTGTTGATGGCATTGTGTGAGGATCAATGTTACAAACAACACTTTGAATCAGATTACATTGAACAAATAAACAAAGAAGGTGAGGAAAAACAGGTATATAAACGTACCTACTCCCCTGTTGACATGTGTGTGACTGATACTGGTGAAGTTTATTTTACTGATGGTAAAAGTATTAAAAAATCCATGCTTTGTCTGTCACCATCAGGATCTGTCTCTACAGTCGTCTTTGCAGATCCACTGGAACCATTAGGAATCTGTCAGTCAGTGGACGGTGGACTACTGGTCACCTTGAGAGACAATGAATCAGATCTTTACAAATTAGAGTCACACAGCAGACGTCTGGTGAGACACATCACAGTGACAGGTGATGTCATCCATGAGTATGAGTACCAGGAGGACGGTCACACCAGACTGTTTACTTTGCCATTCAGAGTCACACAGAACAGTAACAGAGATATCTGTGTTGTGAACCGTACAAGTCCCACTGCAGGTGAAGTATTGATTATGTCTACTTCTGGTCGTATGAAGTCTGTCTACCGTGGACAGAACCTGACAGGGGACTTTATGCCAGGTAATGTAGTGTGTGACTCCTTCCGTAACATCCTTGTTCCTGACATTAACGACACAAAGATCCATTTGCTGGGTCCTGATGGTGAATTTTTGAAGTTTTTACTGACTGAGAATGAAGTGATTCATCCAACCAGACTATCTCTATACAAGTCTACGTTGTGGGTGGGATATTGGGAAGGAATTGTCAAAGTGTTTCAATACAGAATGTAAAATCTGACAATGAGTTTTAGTCCAGATGTCATAGTGTGTGACTCTATCTCTGTTACATCTTTGTTAAAGACCTACCAAACAACCAAATCCATCTGCTGAGTCCTGTCAGACCGGGAGTTTCCGAAGGTCTTACACCTTCCATTCAGATTTTCACTGTACTAGTCTATACTGTGGTTGAAAACAAACATAACATACAAATATAATAAACAGCTTGTCATTGTGTTTCAGTATACATTGTTAAATCTAATGCATGCATATTATATAATAAATTTTATTGGAAATTAAGATACAGTAGTTGTGTTGATCTTGTTTCAATAAGTCAGTATATAATAGATCGAAAGTTTATATTTTGTTATATTAAAATAATATTATCAATTACTAGTATCCTTCAAGTAAATATTTTGTATAAAATTTATCATTTATCATTTTAATGATCACATTTTGCCCGGTGTCCGTTTGTCTGGCTGTAAACTTTTTGCATTTCCATCTTCTTCTCAAGAACCACGGGGCCAATTTCAAACAAACTTGCCACAAAGAACATGTATCCTTGGATGATGGGCATTCAAGTTTGTTAAATTGAAGTGTCACGCCCTCTTCAAACGGGAGACTATAGTATACAGAAAAAATCTCCCTAAGAATAGCAAAGTTGTGATTGATCAAATCATCAGGTAGAGTAGAACTCATGACTCTCGTGGGGAGGGACACATGACTCTCATGGAGAGGGACACGAAGGACGATAAAAGTTTTACATATATATAGGTAAAATCTATTATTCTTCTCAAAAATAGCGAGGCCAGAATTGGTCATAATTTTATGGAAGCATCTTCAGGTATTGTACAAACCATGACCCCCGGGGGAAAGGCGGGGTCACAATAAATGATCAAAATTAAACATATGAATATTTAGGGAAATTCTTCTCAAAAACAGCAAAATCATGATTATCTAGATTTACAGTACTGTATACGGAAGCAGGATGGGGTCACAATGGACGATTAAAGTTTTACGGATGAGTAAACAGTTTTACAAGAACAGCAAAGCCTTGCATTGTTGGTCATATTTATATGGAAGCATTCTCATGATCCAAGGGTGTAGAAAGGGGCCACATTGGGGTTCACCGTTGACATTTTTTTCATAGGAATACATATTTAGGGAAAATCTTTAACAATCTACTTCTCAAGAACAGCAAAGCCATTTTTATTGATATGGAAGCATCCTCAGATAGTTAAGTAGGATTCAAGCCCTCCCCTCCACCTTAATTTAAACTTTTTCAATACAGAACTGTGTTGAGTTTTTTTTTCTGGCTAGTGTGCTCATGTGAGCGATGTGGCCCATGTGCTTCTTGTTTTTAGCATAATTGTTTTTGTTTAAAAGGTTGATTAAAATACTGTAGATTCCTAAATATACGCAAGGAATTAATTATCGCGTAATTTCGCGAAAAGAACTAGACGCGCAATAAAATTACTAGCCTTTATTTTTATGGTGCTGATATCTATGTAAACTCTCTTTATCAACCGTCCCTTAGCGAATTATTAGCAAAAATTTCGCGAAAAAAAGTACTCGCAAAAAATAAGGAATCTACAGCATATAATGTTTGATTACAATCATTATTGAATTCCACAAATATATTATTATAATGACAACCTTTCCTTAATTCTCTCCGTGTCAGGAGGCACACAAGGCCTTGACATCTCTATTTCACTGGGGTCGGTCTGTTCCAGGAGTTCCAGCCAGCATTGTTTCGCTCCACTTCCACCATCCGTCGCCATGTTGTCTTGGGGCGACCTCTCTTCCTTCTCCCTTCAGGCGTCCACCCGAGGGCCATAATAGAGTCATCAGTGGGATCCTTTCTATGCACAAGGCCGATCCAATTCCATCTTTTCCTCCTGACCTCGCCACTGAAGCTTTCTGCTTCTGCCATCTCTAGAACTGTCTTGTTTGAGATTAGATATCTTCTGTGGCACTTGGTCTGAAGATGTCAATCTACTTTTCTTCTGTTTTGGTAAGCTTCCAGGTCTCACATTTAACAATACAGAGAGAACCGGGCTCTTGAAGATGGAAGAATGTTATCTTTCTACAGATGTCTGTGGCGTTCTAGATGTTGGTTAGCCTCCTGAAGGATGCACCGGCCAGTGCTATCTTTACCTGATGTCATCACTTCCTCCCGCATCCTCGGTGACATTGGCGCTGAGGTATGTAAAGCTGTCCACCTCGTGGGCTTCGCTGTTTCCGACTGTCTGGCTGATTTCACTCTTGCTATTTATCATCATCATTTTGCACTTTTTGGCAATCAGCTTCAACCCAATTTTTGAGGAATTTTCTTCCAGTTTTGTTGTCTTAGATTGAAGATGGTTCATTGCTGATGATAGTTGGGCAATGTCGTCTGCAAAGTCGAGGTCTTCAAGCATAGTGGTGAAGTCCCATATAATTCCAGTTCTCTTTTCTCTGACAGTCTGTTGCATCACTCAATCTATCACTAGGAGGAACAAGAAGCCTGACATTTAGCATCCTTGTTTAATATCAGTCATCACAGGAAAAGGGTCCGTGGTCTCGTTGTCATCATTTACAAAGCACTGAAATTTGTCATACAGGGCTCTGACCATGATATAATCAGTTTTCTTGGTCTTCCATATTTCTTCATGATGACCTAAAGGCTGTCTCTATGCACCGAGTCAAAAGCTTCTCAAAGTCAACAAAGTGGATGTACAGTATAGTATTCCACTCGTTGTCTTGCTCTAGGATGTTACTGAGGATAAAGAGCTGGTTGACAGTCCCTCTCCCTTTCCGGAACCCTGTCTGCTCTTTCCTCAGAGTATGGTCAACTCCAGACTGTATGCTGTTAATGATGATTCTGATCTGTGCTTTGCTGGCTAGTGGCAGCAATGTGACTCCGCTCCAGTTGCTACAGTCCTGTAAGTTGCCTCTTTTGGTGAGTTTACAGATCAGTCCGCTGGTCCATTCTTTGGGCACATTTTCCTCCCTCCATATCTGGTCAAAGTTGTGCTTCAATTCCCGGCTGCTGTTATCAAGGTCTGCCTTTAACATTTCTGCAGTTATTTTATCTGCTCCAGGGGCCTTCCCATTCCGAAGCGTCTTCAGTGCAGTCCTTATTTCCTGCATAGTGGGCTGCTCAACTGAGATGTCTAGTTCTTCTCCCTCATCGTCTTCATCTTGTGGTGGCGACTCTGACGTGTCTTTGTTGAGTAGTTCCTCAAAATGTCCCCTTCATCTGGCAAGCCTCGCCTTTTTTTCAGCAGCTCTCCATCTTTTCTCTTCACCTCTGCTGTTTGTTTATTACTCTTTTTTGTCAGCTGTTTCACTATGCTGTACAGTTTCTTCTGCCTCCCGTTCGCGGCTGCTTTATGTGCTCGCTCAGCTTTCTCTGTCATCCATCTCCTCTTGTCCTCTCTCGCAGTTTTCTTGACTGCTTTGCCTTTCTCCCTATAATTTTCCTTCAACCTGGCCTTGACTCATTCTGTCTTGATGTCTTTTCTTTCAACTATCAACTTCCAGGTGTTTTCGCTAATCCAAGGTTTACTTCTGCATATTTAATAAACGTATATAATGTTTGATTATAATCAATATTTAATCCCATAAATATATTACTATTATGACAAAGTATTTTCCAAAACATTGTATAGCAGACATAGAATGGTACCAACTTTTTATACGACATTTCAATGTGTTTCTAAAAACAATTCCTTTGCTTAACAAATTCATTGAGTGAAGCAATCATTACATAAAGAATCAATTTATGCAGACAATGACGTTTTACTATTTTATTTAGCATTAGGCAAAAAAGAAATGTGTGTTTCCGGTAACAAGTCCCTCAAAATTAGGGTAAGTAGGTAGGTAATTACTTCTTTTAACTTTACTTTTTATTTTAACTCAACATTATGTTTGACTGGGATTTTTGAGGTAAACTGTATATTATATTTGATATCAACAACGATTACTGGGACATAAAAAATATACGCGAGAAGGAAATTTACACGGGAAAACAGTCTCGCGAAATTACGCAAAAATAAGATTCTCACGAATAAAATGTGATTTACAGTTCTTTTCAATCCACTATGCTTATTTTATCACATTTTAAATCCAAAATGTTGTTTCAAGCATGCAAAACATTTTAAAATCGTTGCATTCATGCATCAGATTAAATATTATTCTCAATATTGGATTTTGACGTCAGATAACCAATAAACCCCTCTACTTCCTTCATTAAGTCTCACTGTTAACACATTTACTCCAGTTTTCAATATTTTCTCAGGGATAGGAAACGTTTGCTCCTGAAAGTCCTTCCACCAGGCGCCATCGTAATTCATCAGGTGTTCCTTACCATTCACCAGAATATCAATGGATCCGCCACAAGTTGTTTTACAATGGTTTAATGTCAACGTCACTTCCTGGGCGGGTTTCTTGTCTGGTAAGTGGATCATAAAATGCGCCCTACTTCTTTCTGGAGTCGAAAAAATTTTGTATGGTCTCCCATTTCTGTAATCTTCAGATGTTTTCAGTTCAATATACTTTTCCGAGTTATTCGTGTCGATCCAGATATCATTAGTCACAACTGAAAAAAGGAAGATTTTCGGATGAAGGAAGCTGCAATTGCCTTTGCCTATCAGTCTACATGAGAAAGATTACAGTTTGAAAAAAAAAATTATCATTGTAGATTTTCAAAATTCATTGAAAGAGGAGCCATATGAAGAACTGGTGCGTTAGAGAAACATGATATTAATTCTGCCTTTTCAAAAGTGTAGTCTACAACGATTTCCTCATTGACAACATTTATATATAATCTTCGGAGACCATGTTTTCTTTCAAACTGTTCCGATGGGCACTAATTGTGCTCCTTTAGAAGCTGACCTGTTTTGTATGAAGCAAACTTATGCAAAAACTTCTACACAAAAAGAGGAAAAACACTTTGTATGACAGCCGAGATGACTTCAACTTTTCCATCGTCGGCTTTCCTATTAAACATATGGAGATAACGATCAGTATTC